TCTACACCCAACATGGGGCTCAAACTCATGAACCCTGAGATCAAAAGTCATATGTTCTTCCGACTGAGCCAGCCAGGCACCCTCAGCACTTGGCCTTTTAGATTTTTAACCTCTTCATCTCCAACAACTTGTTCCTCTATTCCATATCATCCATCCACTCCAAGTGGTGAGACTTTGAACCTTGTCATCAATAACTGTTTTGCCTTCTAAATCTCAATTTCAAGCATCCCAATTATCAATCACTAGCCTTTTTCCTCAGCTCATTTATTATACTCTCACTGAACTATTAACACCTCCAATCCATTAGGCCCAACACTTAAAAAAAAACTATTAATATGATTCTACATCATAAACACTTCCAACTCATCCAACTTAGATTCCTCAATTAATCCTTGTAATTGCTCTTTTGCAGACATTTTCAATTCTCTTACCCCAATGTCTCTATCTTTCTTACTTGGAGGAACCTCCCGGTAGAACCTTAGTCTTGTTTGGGCTGAACCCTACTGCAACAAACTTTTCCATTCAATTGCTGGTATCCAAGTAGCAAAGATTGCTATAGAAAAATCATATGACACGGCTGACTGGTTTTAATTCATGACCTCAGACCTCATGGGAGCACTTCATACTGGCTGGCAAAACTATTCATTCACTGGATTGACCATTCACACCTTAGCTTCTCTACTCAAATCTTTTACATCCTTTTCCCCCCACCTGTCCCCATTTTCAGCTGGTGAACTTGCATCATACTTGAGAAACTGGAAACCATCTGCAGGGAATGCCTCAACTTAAGAAGGTCATTTCTGTGCTCATTTGCTCTTGCATCTTTTTTGTTTCAATGGAAAACAGAACTCCTATCAGAAAGAACTCCACCCCTTGTACTCTGGATTTCATCCTTCTCTCCTGCTCAAGGATTTTTTGAGTCATCATCTGTGAAATTTCTTAAATCTTTTTTTTTTTTAGTTTTAAGTAGGTTCCATGCCCAGCATAGTGCTCAAACTCATGACCCTAAAATCAAGAGTCACATGCTCTACTGCCCTGTGAAATTTCTTAATTGAAAAAAAAAGACTGGGCATTTTATTTTGTTATATTCATAAAAATAAAAGTTTTAAAGATTACCTTTTATGTTGAAACAGGTATTAGGTTTTATTTATTTATTTATTTATTTATTTACTTTTTAGGTTTTTAAAAAAAATTTAGAATGTTTCAGCATTGATACCAAAAACCTTGGGAGACAGTGAAAAGATATTCCTATGTGAAGCCACAGCTTAAAAAAATAAATCAGTGGAATGACTTTGTCAGAAAACTGTTCTGAAACTTTTTTTTTCCATATCACTTGGATAACTGCCTTCATTTTCCTTTTTGAAGTTTTTAATGTTATTAATATATAGCTGACTTGTTTTTCATTATTCCGTTTTGCATAGAGCTTGGTTGTGAATTTAAAGGTGTCACCTCAAACAAAGCAGATGACCAAATACTACATGATGGTCATAAAAGTCATGTTCTTGACATTTTTCTTAAGAATATGAAAGGATTTTCACAATAAAGCAATAAGTAAAAATAAGTAGAAAAAAATAGAGAACCATATTAGAGTAAGATCTCAGTTCTGTAAAGAACAGTGTGTATGAATATGTGTTTATTTAAAATATATACAAAGAAAAAAGACTAGAAATGTTTGTAGTAATTTTGTTTAGGTGGTGGGGAACAAGTAATTTTTATTTTCTTATTTTTTTCTGTACTTATCAAGATTTCTACAATGAACACATGCTTTTATAAATATAACTACCTTTCTTTTGGAATTAGTGTGAGAAATTGGGAAATCACTTGGCTTATCAGATTTCAGTCTTTCAGTTTTATATTTCCAAAGGCTCCATTTTATCAGCTCATCAGTCTTAGGTAACTGATTAAATATAATCTCAAAAGAGAAACCTAGGTTATTAAACAGGTGAAATAAATGCTCAGAGCATTTGATAGTAGTGGATAAATCCACTTGGAAGAATAAATGCCTGGAAAGTTTTTAGAGGAAAAGTACAAAATCACAGATCTATTAGGTGGGAATTCAAATATGGATCTGTATTTCAGAGCCTCTTTCCTGACATCATTCCTATATAATTGTTGTAGAAGTTAAAGTTAAAATGAAGTATTGGATTTCAAATTGTTTCAAAGTTATAGCAAGCCAGCAAATGGGCTATTCTAGGAAAGTACAGATGTCCAAACTTGGAAAGAAGCTGGAACCTGTGAAGTAACAGTTTTAGAGCTGCAGCAGTATAAATAATGACATGTATATATATACTATATATATACTGCTTTACAACATTTTTATGGATATCTCATTTGAGTCTTTTAAAAAAAATTTTTTTTGAGTATAGTTGACACACAATGTTACATGAGTTTCAGGTGTACAACACAGTGACTCAACTTCTCTTATATGTTATGCTATGTCACCACAAGTGTAGCTACCATCTGTCACAATACAACACTGTTATAGTATCATTGACAATATTCCCTATGCTGTGCCTTGTTTGATTCTCTTAACAACGCTGTCAGGTTAAGTGGGACCTCCAGTGGTTCTCAAACTTTAGCTGGCCATCAGAATCACTTGGAAGGCCTGGTTAAAACTCTGATTGTTAGGCCCCATCCCCAGACTTTTCTGAGTCTGTAGGTATGGGGTGGGACCTGAACATTTGCATTTCTAACTTGTTCATAGGGTACTGGTCTGGAAACAACAGCTCGAGGCCATTTTATTTATTTATTTTTTACATTCTTTGTAAAGCCAGAGCTGACCTTGTCATAGTCTTGAATAATAGCTTTGCTTTGCCCTCAGAATAAAATCCAAATTAGGAGGTCCTGACTGATCTGACTCCTGTTTTACCTCAATAGCTTTCTCTCTCTCTTCCTCTCCAGCAGTGCTGGAGAACTAGCAGTTCTCCGAAGAAGCTGTATTAGTTTGCTAGGGCTGCTATCACAAAATGATTAGCAAGGTAACATTACCTGCTCTGCCTCACAAGAGTATGATTTTGTACAAATGAGATAACATGCTTGGTCCAAGCTAAGATCAAGTGAGTATTTTTACAGATATATGCTATGCATGCAAAGGTTGCCAGGGGAGAAGGAACATTAACTTATGTTATGGGTGGAATTGTGGCCCCTCACAATTCATGTTGAAGCCCTAACCCCCAGTACTTCAAAATGTGACTATATTTGGAGATAAGGACTTTTAGGAGGTAATTAAGTTAAAATGAAGCCATTAGAGTAGGCCTTAATCTAAACTGACCGGTTTCCTTATAAAAGGAAACTTGGACAACAGCAGAGATGTGCACATACAGAGGAATGACCATGTGAGGATACATTAAGAAGGTGGCCACCTATAAGCCAAGGACAGGTCTCAGGAGAAACAAACCCTGCTGTCACTTGGATCTTGAACGTCTAGGCTCCCCAACTATGAGAAAATAAATTTCTTGTTTAAGCCTCCCAGCCTGTCATCTTTTGCTATGGCAGCCCTAGCAAACGAATATAAACCACTACTTTTATAATTGAAGAAATCAGACCCAGGGATATTAAGTGAAAGTGCTTGACTCATGGAAGGCATTCATATGTCTACTGGATAAATAAACGCCTTAAAGCAACATAGTAAACTTTTATTTTTGAAAATTCTCCTTTATGAAGCCTTCTTGAGCTACCCAAGGCAGAGTTAATGTCCTATTTTAGCATCTACATACCACTCTGTTCATGTTACTTTCATGGCACTTAGCCCAACATATTATGGTATTTGTTTACTCAGTGTATCCCTCAGTGCTGAGCACAGTATTAGGCTCCTCATAGTTGGTGGTTCATATCTGTTAAAATGGATGGTCTAATCTCAACCCATCCAAGTAGGAGAAAGAACAAACTACACAAAGTGAAAATATAATGTCCAGCTATACTCCTGTATTAGGTTAAATCATACGAAATTAGTACTTGGTATTTTCAAAACAGCAGAAAAATTCAAGGACTTTTATGGAACATAGCCAATAAAGATCTAAAAATATTTCCCATCATCTTGCTATTCATTTTTTGTACAACAAATGTTTGACACATGCCTGTCAGGCCCTATTCAGTACTAAGAGTCCTGGAGCTCAAGAAGGTGACTAAGCTTTGCTCCCTATTAAAGAGATTGAAAGTAGTATCTGACTTGTCCCCATTCACATGAATTGATGAAAATATAAAGGGGGCATTGATATATCACTTAGGTCCAATGGCTTCTAACACGTTCTTTCAACAAATTTCCCACCTTTTTAGTAAAACATTTGGTAAAGACAAGGATATGTAGTAAGTTACTTTGTTTGGAAACTTGGGTGACCCTTAGGGACTGTAAAAGTGGGATACTAATCACACATTCTAAGATCGTTCATTGGCACACAGGCTAGGACGTGTAAACTGCAACAATATTCAAAGTTAGAAATTTTACTATTGTCCTTGCTTTCAAAAGGGTCTAACCATTTTTGGGAAAACAGCTTGTACATTTCTTGTTAAGGACGGTTGGACTGATATGCCCACTAGTGTACAGTAGTAATAGTCACTTTAATAGTAATATGCACTTTTTACTTAGACAGAAAACTCACTTTACAAAGCCAAACAGTACAAAACGATCAACGTTAAGACTACGATATAAAGTCAGCCTTGACTTTTTGCACACTAAGGATCACTAGGATTACATTTGAAGAAGAAAGATTTAATCCTAAAAGGCATTTTCAAAAAAGGCGGGAATACTCCTAGATCTCTAGAAGCGAGTGTTGTAAAAAAAGTCTACAAAAGCCCATGACCCCGACGTGATTCGAACACGCAGCCTTCTGATCTGGAGTCAGACGCGCTACCGTTGCGCCACGAGGTCCTGCTGGGCTGTGGCTCGCGCAGTTTCTTAGGACTCAAGTAACATGGCGTTTCTTCCGGCATCTTTTTTCCAATTCCCTCCTTGCCCCTCCACCCGGTACACGCTGAAGATGAAGACTGGTCACTTTAGCGCCCACATTTTCCTGATCGCTAACCCTCCACCTAACTTGGGACCGGACCAGTGGAGGTGGCAGAACTGAGTTTCCCTTTCAGTCGGTTCCCCAGGGTCAAGGGAAACGGCTCCTTCCTCTTCTACAGCAAGCCATTTCCGTTCTTACCCGCCCCTTTAGGGGCGGAAACTCCGCCTTCTCTCTCCCCTCACCCCTTCGGGTTCCGCGCCCAGTTCATGACCTCAAGTTGGAATTTGGCGGGCGTCGCTGCGCAGGCGCACACCTGTGCCAGCCAGCAGCTGGTAGCTAACGCGGAGTCCTCTCTGGTTCTCTTTCTCTTCCACCAACGATGAGAAGCTTTTACTGTCGGCGTAGGCTTTTATTTCAAGGTGAGCATTAAGCTTAAAAGTCACGCGTTTTAAAAAAGGCACACTCACAAAAGATATCTGGATGTTGTATCTGTCAGCAGGTTTGGTATCTCGCAGTTGAATTAATAAAATCCACCATCCTCCCCGTCGGGGAATTGAACCCCGGTCTCCCGCGTGACAGGCGGGGATACTAACCACTATACTAACGAGGAGCTGCTACTAGGCGTTCCTCCAAATATCTCTTCAAAAGTAAGAAAGACTCCCTCCCCAGGCTCGTTTCCTTTCTGCTCACCACCGGGAAGTGTGAAAATAGGAACATTTGGACCGCTCCTCCTCTCACTATCCCCTCTGGGCACCTTGGACTCGGGGTTGGTGGAAAGAGTAAATTATTTAGAATAAGTGAAACAAAATGCGCTTCCAGTGTGAGTAGTGATGAATTGATGAAAATTGTTTTCCGGAGCTCCTTATGCTTTCCAGATGATTTAGGTTTCTGGCGGGAGGTTTTTAATTTGATAGTGACCAAGAGGATGTGACTTGAAGCAGAACTTTACCTTTCCAAATTTATATTTTCGTTCTGAAGTCGAAGTTCAGGCTATCCTATGGTTGCCAGATGTCCAGGCAGTCAGGGTTGTCCGACAGTACGGTGCCTCTGCAAACAATTTGTAGGCTTTTGTGACACAAAGGGACTCATGCGTTGGGCCAGCTGTGGTCAAAGGAAATTCTGTTAGCTGCTTTTTTTCTTCTTCTGTATTTCGGGCTCTTTCTTGAGGCGTCTACAGTTTGCTCGAAAATGATAAACACGTTAAGTGGCAAAATAATAACACATTTAAGTAATTCCAAACAAGGATGTGCCGTTAATTAAACATAGGGTTAGGAAGGTGTGCTAATAGAATAATTTGTACCGTCCTTAGCTTTTTCATAAACAGGATCAAACCTGTTCCAAGGAGGACCTCCCACATTAACTTTCGACATTATCTCTATGTAAGCAAATTCGTAGTCACAAACTGACATGATTGAAAGTTTTCATTGTAGAACCTGAATTTACGGAATCCATTCCTTGTAGTGTAATGAATTAACACATTTTTGGGGGAATCATAGGTTACATGGTGTTTTCCATCTGATGAAAGGGATTATTTAGTGCAGACTTAAAAAAACGGCAATTTTTGAGGCCTGTTTTGGCATATTTTTTTCACTCTTAAATACACCAAAAGCCTCAAACTCCATGTCCTGTGGCCTCCTTCTACTTCTTCTCTAGTAACTCTTATGAATTCCAAAGGGCATTGTGATAACTATGATGATTTCTTTTTCCTTGTAAGATTGAAAGAATTTGTCCCAGGTCTCTCTGTTGGCAAAACTGCAGGGCAGTAGGAACCCAGATTAATTGAACAGCCTGTCTTCACTCCTCCCCCACTCCCGCTAGACGAAGCTTAATCCTTGTCCCTTCAGAAGAGACATCATCCTCTCCACCTAAGCTGTGGTAAAGCTATTCCAGTGTTCATATATGTGTTTTTACTTTTTTTTTTCCTCCCTAGGGAAATGAAGAAGCAGCCTGAGTCAGCAGAGATCATGGAGCAGGAAACAGCACCTGCTGCCTATTTTCCTAAAATGGAAAGGAAAAGAGGATAATTAACCTGAACAGGGTAAGGGAACTCAGAGATTCCTCACTGTCAGCACTGGGTGAAAGTAAAGGTTAAAATCTGATTGGCAGTAGAGAGGGCACAGAACTCACTTTGGAGGTGGATAGCACGATGACAATCAATGTTATTGAAAGTTTGAAACCTTTCTCTACCTAAATAATTGGTTGTCTAGCTTATTATAGCTTGCAGAACCATTCACATTCATTTCATCTTCTCCACAGTCCTGTGAGGTCAATAGGATGGGTGTTTTATCCCTATTTTACAAGTGGGGAAAGGGTATCTTGTAGAGAGACACAGATAGGAAGTCGTGAGAGGCCAGGAATCACCCAAGCCTTGACTGCAAATCTTGTACAAAATTCACCGTGCTGTATAGTTCCACATTCTTGTATATTAGCAAATCATGCGTTATGGAGAGAAAATCTTTATCACTAGTATCAACATAATGTGTCACACTCGTTCCTGTATTAATATTTACTAGTCTCTAATTGCTTAGGCACTGTAGTTATTCATTCACTGTTGAACCTACAATGTGCCAGACATTTTGTTGGCAACAAAATTGGATACATTTTCTTTTTGTGGAGCTTATATTCTAATAGAAGGAAGGTAGACAATAAAGAAGAATATAATACATGAATATGCTAGATGATGACAAGAGTGGAAATAGAAAAAAATAGCATTATAAGGGGGTTTAGAGAGTGGCAAATTAGATACAATGGTCAAATAGGCCTCATTTTAATAAGGTAGCATTTGAACAGACTTGAAGTAAGGGGTGTGGTCATATAGGTATCTAGAAGATGTGGGGCCTTAGAGGTTATTGTAAAGACTTTGACTTTTATTCTGAGGGGAAATGAACTGCTGTAGGGTTTTGAACAGAGAAGTGACCTGGTCTAATTTATGTTTTAGAGTTTTTGTTTACTGGGTTGAGAATAGACAGTAGGGGGCCAACAGCAGAAGCAGGGAGGCCAATGAGATCTCTTGTAATTACCCACATAGGAGGTGAGGTGGTTCAGATTAGCTTGGGAGTTATGGAGAACGTGAGAGGTGCTGACAAATTTTGAAGGTAGAGCCTTCCTGACAGAATGCTCTGACATCATGAATGTGAGGTGTAAGAGTAAAAGACGAATAAAGATGCTTCCAAATTTTTTGGCTTGAGCAACCAGAAGGATAGAATTGCTATCAGCTGAAGTGGAGAAGAGTAGTGCACAACTTCAGAGGGCACCATCGATATTGATAGTCTACGTGAAGGGAGCAAGAATTCCTGTCCCCTTTAAGGCCCTTCTAGCTAGACTAAGAATCAAATTGACACAAGATTTCAGGGTTGTGAGATGGATACGTTGGGCTCTGTGCTGGGCATGGAGCCTGCTTAAGATTCTCTCTCCCTCTGCTCCTCCCTGACCTTCTTAAAAAAAAAAAAAAAAACAAATTGACATGAGACATATTAATAGGAAGAAAATATTTAATAGCATACATACAGGGAATCCATACAGACATGGAAATCCCAAAGACAGGCAAAATGAGGCATATATGTCATTAGGAACTAAGGAGAAGGGGGTAGGGGTCTTGGTATTCAAAGGGAAGGAATGCTTTCTTTCTGAAGAATGAAAAAGCGTAAATACTTGGTAAACAAGTGTGTGCTGGGCCACTCAGAAACAATGGGATGAAGAGAGAACTTCAATCAAATAGGCCTTGCTAAATTCCTCCCTGTCCACCATACTTAGTTCATATTGTAATGTAGTTACTTATATCTTAATTATTTTAGGCGGTTGTGGGTTAGCTCAAGAGCTTTTTCTGAATCAGCTGGGTTTGGATTGCTTTTTAACTCAAAATAACATTAATGCCAAAGTGGCCCATTTTGGGGCTGCCTGCCCTTGGCCCCCAACAAGAGCACACTGGGGAGGAGGCAGGGCACCATTCACATAGATACTCTGTGGTTGGCACTCCTTGGAAGGATAGAACGTGGCAGCTCTGTATGTGGAGCAGTATTTGGAGGGATAATCAGCATTTCAGTTTGGGATGTGTTAAGGTTGAGACATTGAGTAGGTAGTTGAACATCATGGTTGAGTACTCATTGTATAAGCCAAGCATTGTGTGTAGTGCTGGAGGTGCCATGATGAACAAAGATCCTGATCTCAAGGAACTTTCATTTGAGCAAAGGAGACACATATCATTAATCAAAGAATAATAACAACAAAAAAGTAAAATTACAATTGTGACAGTTACTAAGAAGAAGATGCAGAAGGAAGAGCTTTCTTGGTAGATAGAATTGTATGTGCAAAGGTTATAGGAACTGAGTAAGTGTGGTGAGTAGAGGGATTGAAAGGCTGGAAGTGGGTAGGGATCCTGAGGAGGACCATGGGAGAGATGAGGGTGAAAGGCCCATGGCAGTAGGGTGGGTGATGCAGGATCTCTCAAGCTATGTTAACCTTTTCTTGGCCTCTTATTCACTTTTAAAATAAATGTGTTTGTTTATTTACTATTTTTAGAGTTTATTGAGGTATAATTTATATCCAGTAAAATTCATTCTTTCTTAGGTGTACTGTTCTATCAGTTTTGACCACAATCAACTTATAGACTATTTCCATCACTCCTATCACTTCCATCACAAACTTCCCTTAAACCCTTTGGCAGTCAATCCCTTCCTTCCAGCCCCAGGCACCGCTGATATGATTTCCATGTCCAGAATGTCATATTAATGGAAAGGTACAGTTTGTAGTCTTTCGAATATGGCATCTTTTAGTTAGCACAATGTTTTTGAGAGTCATCCACATTGTTTCCTGTATCAATGAGATTTTTTTTCCCATTGCTGATTAGTGTACCATTGTATGGATGTTTATCCACTCACTAGTTGATGGACATTTGAGATGTTTCCAGTCTTTGACTATTATAAATACAGCTATTATAAACATTAGTGTTGTTAAAAAGAAACAACAGACCAAAGTGGAGTCACTTTTACTACACCCCACCAAGACTACCTATTTGTAGTTTCAGCTTCTCCCAGGAGTGAAATTTTAAACCAGTGGGTCTGGAATTTCCTGATCAGCACTTGTGAGGTAATCTGCATGATAAGACTACCCATTCTGCCCCTTAAAGGGAAGGTGAATTTGCCTGAAACAATCTTTTCTTTTCTTTTGCTAGCAACCTTCCTGTTTCTGCCTATAAAATTCTATTCTGTACAGTTCCTTGCAGCTCCTTTCTACTTGGTAGATAGGATGCTGCCCAATTTATGAATCATTGAATAAAGTCAAGTAAATCTTCAAATTTACTCAGTTGAATTTTTTTTTTAACAGTACACAGGTTTTTGTCTCCTCATTTCTCTTGGGTCAATACCTAGGAGTGGATAGCTGGGTCTTGGGATGAGTGTGTTTGCATTTATACGAAACTACCAAACTAACTGGAATATTTGGCATTTCCACTGACAATACATGGGTATTTTTGTTGTTCCACATCTTTGCTAGCACTTGATATTGTAAGTAGTTTTTGTTTGAGCCATTCTAATAGGTGTGTAGTAGGATCTCTGTGTGGTTAATATGTCTTTCCCTAATGATTAATGATGTTGAGCATATTTTCATGGGTTTATTTAAGCACCTTAATATTTTGCCTATTTTTCAATTGGGTTGTTTTCTTATTGAATTTTGAAAGTTTTTTTTATATATTCTGATTGCTTGTTTTTTGAAATCTGATATATATCTTGGGATATGTCAACACATATATAATATATCTTGGGAGATACATTTTCTCTCAAGCTGTGTCTTGTTTTTTTCACTCTCTTTTTTAAAAAAATTTTAACTTGTATAGCCTTATTTTTTTAATTTAAATTCAATTAGCCAACATATAGTACATCATTAGTTTCAGATGTAGACTTCAATAATTCATCAGTTGCATGTTAACACCCAGTGCTCTTCACATCACGTGCCCTCCTTAATGCCCATCACCCTGTTACCCCATTCCCCTATCCACTTCCCCTCCAGCAACCCTCAGTTTGTTTCCTATAGTCAAGAGTAAAGAATTTTTTATTTTATCAGAGCATACATGACCTGGTTTCTTGTGTTTCTTCCCTTTGTTCTCTATTATTTTCACTTCCTCAACTTAGCCTTTGAACAGCAGTGTAAACAAGAGCTTGGGCCAGCTTACTACGCAACATTCTCTTTTCCCCTTCCTCCTCCATAAATAAAAAAGAGTCTAAATTGCTCCTGGGTAGTTTTTGGATTCTATAATCATTCATTCACAGAAACATGATTTACATTTATTAAAAATGCAACACTTCCTATGCAAATATGAAACTAACCCTCCATAAACATTGAAATTCAAATTCAAAGGTGAATGTTTATGATTTGGGCCTGGAAGACAGATCTAGCTGGGTACAAGTTTAGATTATTAAAGGAAAAAAGTTTCTATTGAGGATGCTCATACTTCACCATTTCCCAGTCTAATTTATCTAAATAATCCAGAGTTAAAACTGAGAGGCAAACATCTTTTCCCCTCCAGTGCAATCAACACTTTAGTCTGTTCCTTCTCATTAAAAAAACCAACAAACAGGGGCGCCTGGGTGGCTCAGTCGGTTAAGCGTCTGCCTTCGGCTCAGGTCATGATCTCAGGGTCCTGGGATCGAGTCCCGCGTCGGGCTCCCCGCTTGGCGGGAAGCCTGCTTCTCCCTCTCCCACTCCCCTTGCTTGTGTTCTCTCTCTCGCTGTGTCTCTCTCTGCCAAATAAATAAATCTTTAAAAAAAAAAAAAAATCCAACAAACAATGTACAACAACAAAAAACCCAACTTTGTTGATCTTTTCTTTGTGCCAGGTGTGGAGATAGACACTGGGGACAAAGATATGAATAATATTCCCTTCCTGCCCTTGAAGAACTCAGTTTTCACAGGGGAGGAGGACCCTCTTATTGAAGTGCTGTGGTGGCCTCATTGTCCATGCTTACTGAGAGCCTACTGCGAATAGGCTCTGTTTTAAGTGTTTTACGTAAGAAAACTATTTAATGTTTGTTACAATCCTGTACA